AAGTACATATAAATATAATATATAAAATTTATATCTAAATAAATTTTTAATTTTATTTATTCAATAATACAGTAAATGATAAATTTATAATACTACAACATGATTGGACGTATATGTTTTGACACGTAACAAGGTGCTGTTGGCTAAGTTGGATAGCTCTGCAACTCCAGCATCGCAAAGGTTGCCAGGTTGTATAGCCGTACAGGTGTCCTGTCGGTAAAGGCTAGTGTTGCAATGTTACTTTCACAGGATAAGCCAATTTTACAAAGAAAGCTAATTAAAAACGAAAATGAAAAATGGGAAGACGCGGTGGAAAAACGCCCTCGTCTTTTGGTAAAGGCAATAGATTAGATGAAATTAGTATGAGCTGAAACGACAATTCAAATACTATTAGTACTTTCATTACCTATTTTCAAAAAAAATAGTATTAGTACTTATTATCCAGCACAAAGAATCCAATCGAAACATTCTCTCTAGGAGAATCTTCTAGGTACTCATTCTCTTTCCGAAAAAAATAAATAATAATTTAGATAAGAACAAAGTTTGGCTATGATTCTAGGGGACCAATTTTTCGTTTCTTTTTTTTTTTCTTTGTCTATGGAAATATAATATATATTAATTAGGAAGTCCCATTATAAGTAAAGAAAAAGAATAAATCCTCACATCTCTTTTAATGATTTAAAATTTTCAATAATTAAATTTAAAATAAAATTGTTTATAATTCCACCTAAACAATAAAATTAATATTAACCTATCAAATATCAAAGATTTATCATTAAAATGTTTACAAACAAGTTTTATTATGTATCCACACTGGCACTCACACTTCTTGGACTGTAATTGATGATTCCCATGACCATGTTAGTGCTAAATGACATGGTACATCAATACCACACTTTGTAAACTAGGAACTATATTACTACAAGCCATTTAATTTCCATGCATGTTTAAACCAGATTGCAATAAAGCATTTGAAATGAGCAGCCTTTGTTTAGTTATTGCGAACAAAGATTTTTTGAAACTAAAATAAAAATTTAATTAACTTTTATTAATTACACTAACACTTACAACACAGACAAAAAAAAGAGTGAAAATTGAAGAAGAATGAAATTTAAATAATAATAATAATAATAATAATAATAAAAGGAAACAAATGAGATGGCAAACAAAAAACCCAATTAAGAAATGAATACAAGAGATTCAGAGAGGCTTAGCACAAGAATGGAAGGAAGAAAAGCAATTAAGTGAATGAACCATCATCTAAGGGTTAGATTTTAGGGATTTTTTAAAATAGATATTGAATTAATAAATTTATAATTAATCTATATTATTTTTATAAAAACTTAAGGGCCCGCATTTGTGGCATCAGCCAAGATGGAAGTGCACTAATCACCCTAGCCCTTTTCTTAAGGGTTTAAGTTGCAACTGCACTAATATTGTAACTATTCTCCTCATCTCTCAATTCTTAAGGAGCCAGGCCCCTGTTTATCCTCTGTCATCAATTGTTTTTGTAATTGAGAGAGTAATAACTGCAAAATTAGAATCATAAAGGACGAGATCTGGGATCATTGTAAAATCGAAGTAAAAAAAGGTAAAAATGTATTCAGCCAACGGATTTGACTTACAATCTAGCGAAAAAGATAGATGACCTTTCGAGGGAGCCAAGAGTTGACCCTTCCTGTTTTTTTTGGATAAGAGAGTCGATCGGTCGATCCCATTCGTTCCCATTGTGTCCCCGTAATTGTCACGTTTATTTAATTTCTTTTCATAACTGAGGTGACTTTGCCTCTACCCTTTCGCTAATCATATGAAGTTTATTTTAATGAAAAAATGTTATAAGATTTTAAAGATAAAGATATTTTATTTTATTGTTTTAAAAAATATTATATAATTTAAATTATATCAAACTATATAATTATTATTATTAAATAAGAGTGAGTTTTTTAATATTAAAAATTTTATCTTGTTTTATTAATTTTTATTTTATAATTTATTATAACAAAAAAATAAAAATTAAAACATATTGACTTCAAACATCCATCATAATAATTCGTGATGTAAGTATTTTACTAAAATCCACTTAACAAATAAATGTGATAGAATGTCCTGATGATAAAATATCTTAATTTTTTGAATTTTATTATTATAATTCATATTATAAAATAAAATATTCTTATTTTTTACATAAAAACTGTTAAAGCAATTTATATTTTACACAATAAACCTCCTGAATGCTAAGAAAAAATAGTTTTAACAAAAATGCGGACCCTTCCATATTCTAAAGTGGCATTGGTTCATAAAAATGCATACCGTGGCTAGAATCAAATACATTATCGAATAGTTTAGTTTTGACCATTACCTGTAATGAGGGAAGGCTTCCTAGCATCTGAACCTTCAAAAAGTTAAGAAATTATGAAATACAACAAACGAGAGTTGCATTTTCTTAATTTACTTTATCTAAATGTAACGTAAGTCCTCAACTTTTATGCAGCAAAGTCAATGAAATTAGAGCTGAACACCCAATGTTTGCACAAGGCAGTGAGCTCTAAGGATATATGGAATTTAATTCTTAGAAGCAAGAATAGAATTCTAAGGACATAAATGACTGCTAGACTTCTGATTATTCTGTGTCTTCTGCTAAACAAAGCCTTACAGGGAGCTTCGAAGCAATTTAACAAACACATGGTCTGCATTACCCTGACCTCTTCATCTGATATATTCCTATTTGCTGCAGTTCAACATTACCTTTCTACATTAACAGCAATTTCAAAAGGAATAAAATAGCAGACCAAAGAGCTAAAACATAAAATCAACTGGTTAAACTGAAGATTTTGAGTCAAACGATATTCTATAACTTGAAATTGGAGTTTACAAATTACTGACAGATCAACAGTCTAGCAACAACAAACATATGAACCAGATCTGAAGCAAAGAACTCTAAACACCACCATCTAGCGCCCCTAAGGAGGCCAATCTTATAGCAAGAACAAATCTAACCGCCGAAACCATAGAGAGTTCTGCCCTGCCTTTTCAAGGCGTACACGACATCCATAGCGGTGACCGTCTTTCTCCTTGCGTGCTCGGTGTAGGTTACAGCGTCGCGAATCACGTTCTCCAAGAAAATCTTCAACACACCTCTGGTTTCCTCATAGATCAAGCCACTGATCCTCTTGACACCACCCCTGCGAGCCAGACGGCGAATCGCCGGCTTCGTGATTCCCTGGATATTATCTCTCAGGACTTTCCTGTGCCTCTTGGCTCCACCCTTTCCCAAACCCTTGCCTCCCTTTCCTCGCCCAGACATTTTCCCTCTCTAATTTTCTACCGGAGATCTTCGAAGAAAGGAAGAAATTCGAATGACTTAATAATATGATAAACTGTTTGGGTTGAAGGGACTTATTTATAGCTCGGTGCCTTAGGAAGGAGGGAATTCGATTTCGGATTTGGAGGTTTTGGCGGTTTTAACATGAATCGTTGGATTAAATTTTATCAACGGCTGGTAAAGACGATCCGCGTGAAAATATAGAACATTATCCAACCGTTGATAGGATTTCAATACACGGTCAAGAAACATTGTAGGGTTGTGCCACGAATTGCGGGTTTTGTGAAGCGGAATGTTAATCTGGACCGTCCACGTGATTTCCATCAATTGATGAGATATCTATCCTCGTGAAGTTGAATTATTATATAAGGATCGTTCATAGTGCACTAGTCAACGGACACAATAATTTATTAATTTGTAAACTTCCAGCATGGATACGGTAGAGTAGTCGGTTTTTTTTTTTTAGTAGAATTTGAGGTAGGAGATAGGAAGCTTTTTAGCATAATAGAGTCATGATTAGAATTTTAGTTATTGTTAAAATATTAAGTATATTTAATTTAATAATTAATATATTAGGTTTGATGTCATAGGTATACTAGAAATCGAACTCAAACAATTCCACAAATTTATACAAGTATATTTTTTTAAAAAAAATTCATTTATATATAAATTTATTATATTATATTTATATAAAATTTTTACTTTTTATTTTTTATTTTTTAATAATTAAAATTTATTATAATTTTTTAAATAAAAAATAATTATTCTTAATAAATATAAATAAATTTTAATTATTAAAAATAAAAAAATAAACTATTAAAATTTTATATAAATGAATTTATGTTTATATTCTTTATTTGAATAGTGGCCATGTAAGGGATGAGGGAGGGGATTGTATCATGGAAAATGATTTATAAATAACTTTTTTAATTTTTTTACATAATTTTATATATTATTTAATAATTAAAAATTTCATTTCATTAAAATTTATATTATGATATGTATCTAATTATTTAATGACCTATAAAAATTATATAAAAAACTTGTAAAAAAAATTATATAAAAGACTTGTACAAAAAATATTATCTACATATTAATTATTCAATAATTCAAAAATAATTACGCTTTTCATCTAAATATTATTAAATTAAAACCTGGTCCATGGGCCAAATGACTTTAGTCACTATTGTAAGATTCATACCCACTTCTCCAAGGGCAACCGAGCCGACCTCATGATAAAATGTTTAAAAAAAAAAAATTATTAAATTAAACCACTAAAGTAAATTTTACAATAATATAATTATAACACTTAACCTTTTGACCTAATGATATTAGCCACCTCGATAGATACATTCCCAACTCTTTGGGGTCGAGTTGATCCCTTATCCCTCATTTTAAACCCGATAAAACAAATATATATATATATATATATAATTATAATATTACATAATATTATAATTTTACAATTATAACTTATTGTTATATAATTAATTATTTTTATTTAACATGCCATACATAATATTATAATATTTACTTGTTTAATATATATAGCAAATAATATCATATCATCATCATAAAATTAAGACCTAACATTATAACCATATCTTCTATATTTCTTATTAGCCAATTTCTTACACTTTCCACTGAAATGGTATACATTATATTCGCCTTTCTTATTAGAGAGATTTATTAAAACTCCGTAACTAGAGAAATGCCCGTGACTTGAAATAAACCATTCTCACCCTGTATTACTTCTACAAATCTACCTTTATCCGTTAAAGACTTGTAAACCTAATTACCAAATCCGAATCACAACTACATTGTTCAACTGCATCTTAAACCCAATAGACCTTAAGAAAATTTTCCAAGAGGTACCAGTGATTAAAAAAGAAAAAACAATGAATCATGGCAATTTGCCCAATTCATTTTGTTATCTTTTGTCTGTCAAGGATTGAACCCTTGATTAAGATAGGCAAATTTTGCAATCATAAAGGTCTTACATGTTCAAGACAACATTGAATGACGTTAAAAGAAAGCAGAGTATCTAGAACAGCTCTCTGTTGTTATTGTAGCTCAAAAAAGCAACTGCAAGCAAGTCTTCCAGAATGGTAGGCACAACTACATTGGTATTCAGGTATCATGCAATTCACCTACGTAATATCGGAAAATGTGAGCAAGTTCAGATTTGAAGGAGATTGTGAAACTAAAATATACACAGCTCTAGATGGCATTATTTATGGCCCTCAATAAGCAAGAAACAAAACAATTCGACTTATAGACACATTTCAAGCCCAACCATTTCAACAGCATATAGGTTAAACAATTTACAGCTGTTTTTTCTTTTTGTTAATTGTAAAATCACATGGTAGACAATGAAAAATACAAGAAAGTTTTCTATCCCATACCATCTGCAGCATCAACTAAGGAAATCAAGACTAAAACTAAACAAGTAAACGATAAAAGGTAAAGATTTGAGAAACAACTGGGTGACAAATTAGAACCAATAAAAAAAAAAAAAAAGGAAGAAGAATGAAAAGAAGAAGAAGAAAGAAAAGGTAACGGAAGTACAAGCAGTAATCTTCTTAAACACCCCAAGTGGCACTTAGAAAAATCATCTTTGTAATTCATTGTCATACAACTAATCAAAAAGATATCAAAATCTTGAAATCCCAAATATATATTGAGGGAAAATGCCTGATGCACAAAACATTTCCACAAAATATGGTGAAAAAAGGATAGGAATTTGTTCAAAAAAATTTGGAAAGTTACGAATGAAAACAAGAGGCTAAATCTCCTAACAAGCTGTTTCTACTTTTTAGTCTTCATAACTACCACCTTAAACAGATGGAAAGAAACCTGAATGTAATGCTAATAGGATCAATAACAGATCACTGCAGATCACCCATGATACTACAAACCTTGACTTAACCAAAAGCCTGTATTGACATTAATTCCTAAGAAAGAGCAATACATTGTTATTTAAAAATGTCTTAAAAGGATTATTCTCTAAACAGTTTTTCAAAGTCAAGAAAGATATCTAAACTGTTGCATAGAAATGAATTTGATTCCACCAATCTTGTTTTTCGATATCCATTGAATGAATCAAACACACAATGCTAATTTACGATTACAATTCCAGAAAAAAAAAGAAATCAAATACTAATAGAAATGAACAGCGAAAACTCGATATTTAGGGTTTACTCACCTGTTATGCCTCTGAACGAATTTCGACTCCTTGGCCTGTGCCTCTGCAAATCAATTAAGAATAAATTATCAGTAACATTGATAAGCATATATAGACATCCCTATACAAATAAGTCTGTCATCGGATCGGGAGCGACGGTACCAGTGAGGCTGAGAGAGTGCTTGGTGATGATGGTTCCGGTGATGGCGAATCCGACCAAGAAAGGCCAGTTGCGGTTCCATTCTCGCTTGAAGAAAACGGGCCATGGATCGAACCACCTCTTCATCTTTCCTTTGCTCGTCTTTCCGAGTTGTAACTCTGAGTCTCTCTTCCTCGCTTTTGTCTGCAACGCGTTGGTGACAAACTAGCTGCGGTAATGTGAAATTTAAGGTGATAGATTTTTTTGTAGCCGTTGATTTCGTCTTTAGGTAGAAGGATCAGACGGTTTTGGGAGAGCTCTGCGGAATAGTGGCTGTTGGGTTGGGCTTCTTGAACTGGACTGATACGCCGTGGCCACAATGAAACTCAATCGAGATCGAGT